TGACAGGCTGAGCCACCGAGCCCGGCTGACGGTGTTTCTTATAAAGCAACAGAGAACTGAAACAACTGCTCTCTCGGGGAAAGCCCCAGCTGACTTGTTGCATCTGTTCAGCAAAGGTGTCAAGGACGCTAGTCCCTTCCGTCCATAGACTACCGCGTTCACTGTCATGGTCAAGGGGGCCAGCCCATCACGTGCGCAAGCACGTTACCATCACGTGCGCCACCACGTGCACATTCCAGCCAATGGGAGGAAAGGAAGAGGTAAACAGGAAGTGAATGCGCCCACTCCTCTCGTCATTGGCCAGAGTGCAGCTACGTGACCCAGCCCAGCTGCAAGCGCCTCTGGGAAATGTAGTCTTTGGGAAGCTATGTGTCCCTCTTTCTATTGGAAGTTTTTGTTTTGATTTCTTTTCCTGGCGATACCTGCCCAGGAAAAGTCAGAAGTTTTATGAGTAAAGATGATGGAGGGAACAAATGTTGGGGGATCGTTAGTCGTCTTTGCCCCTTGCTACCTCTTGGAACAGCCAAGCAGATTCCTTTGCAATCCATAGATTTTCAGAATTACTAACACCTATGTGGGGCATACGTGGACATATATCTCTGTGGGATAAACTCCTAAATGTGAAATTGGTAGGTCAAATTGTATGGATACATTGCTTTCTTTCTTCCTTCCTTTCTTTTTTAAATTGAGATGGGCTCTTGCTGCACTGCCCAGGCTGGTCTTGAACTCCTGGCCTCAAGTAATCCTCCTGCCTTGGGCTCCCAAAGTACTGGGATAACAGGCGTGAGCCAATGCACCCAGCTTGGATTTTGTTGTTTTTTTTTTTTTTGAGTTGGAGTGTCACTCTGTCACCCAGACTGGAGTGCAGTGGCCGCTCCTGGCCACCGCAGCCTCAACCTGCTGGGCTCTGGCAATCCTTCCGCCTCAGCCTTTCGAGTAGCCGGAATTACAGGCATGCACTACCACGCCTGGCAGATTTTTTTTTTTTTTTATTGTAGAGATGAGGTCTCGCCAAGTTGCCCAGGCGGGTCACGAACCATGAAACATTTTCATTTTGAAAATTCTCAAGTGCATTGTGGCCTGCAGACTCTTAGGGTGGCCTTCCATAGTCCCCATCTCTCGGTTTTAATACCCTTGTGTAATCCACTCCCTTTGAGGGTGGTTGGAACTGGAGCCTGTGACCTGCTTCCACTAACTGAACTCAAGAAGATTGGCAGATGTCACTTCCAGGATTGGATTCCATTTCAGGGGATCACAGTCGCCGGCCCAAGGTGTCTCTCTCACTTGCTGGGTTTTCTTTGTTTTTTATTTTGAGTTGGAGTCTAACTCTGTCCCCCAGGCTGGAGTGCAGTGGCACAATCATGGCTACCACAGCCTCAACCTACTAGGCTCAGACTATCCTTCTGCCTCAGCCTCCTGGGTAGCTAGGATGACAGGCTTGCACCACCACGCCCAGCTAATTGTTTGATTTATGGTAGAGACGAAGTCTTGCCAAGTTGCCCAGACTGGTCTTGAATCCCTGGACTCAGGCATTCCTCTCGCCTCCGCCTCCCAAAGTGCTGGGATGAGAGGCGTGAGCCACCGCGCCAAGCCTGACAACACTTTTTGAGGGGGCATCATTCAATCCACAACACACTGGATTCCACACAGTCCACGTGCCCACATGCATTAAGCTTCGTGGCCATGTCTCTCCGTCTCTCATTTTAATTCCCTTCCCAGCCCCTACCTCTCCTCCCCCAAGCCATGGTCTTGTTGATGACACTAGGTCAGCTGTGCTGAAGTCTCAGCTGAAATAAAGTTAGGGCTGGAACCTTGGCTGAGTTCAAGTTCAACTTTTGGGGCAAAAATCTGTCCTAGGTGGAGCTACTTGCTTCCTAATGCATGCCATTAAGAGGTTCTTATTTATTTACTTATTCATTTATTTATTTATTTGAGCCAGGGGTCTCAGGCTGCAGTGCTGTGACACAATCATAGCTTACTGCAACCTCAACCTCCTGGGCTCAAGCAATCCTCCCTCTTCAGCCTCCCAAGTAGCTGGACCTACAGGCAAGTGCCACCATGCCCGGCTAATTTTTTGATTTATTGTAGAAATGAGGTCTTGCCAAGTTGGTCTCAACCCTGTGAGTTTAGGCAGTCTTCTTGCCTTCACCTCCCAAAGTGCTGGGATGACAGGCTTGAGGCACTGTGCCCAGCTGCTTTCTTTTTTTTTTTTTTCTTTTTTGAGACGGAGACTCACTCTGTTGTCCAGACTGGAGTGCAGTGGCCGCTCCCGGCCACCGCAGCCTCGACCTGCTGGGCTCCGGAAACCCTTTCGCCTCAGCCTTCCGAGTAGCCGGAACTACAGGCGCGCGCTACCATGCCCGGCTGATTTTTTGATTAATTGTAGAGATGAGGTCTCGCCAAGTTGCCCAGGTGGGGCTCAAACTCTCGGTCTCAGGCAATCCACTCACCTCAGCCTCCCAAGGTGCGGGATTACAGGCTGAGCTACTGAGCCTGGCTTAGCTGGAATTCTTAATTCTTCTGTTAAAAAACCAAACAAACAAACAAAAAAACCTTATCAATCAACTAGGGCTACCTGACTCTACTGAGAAGCAGTTTGTAGGGTAAAGGCTGGACAAATGCTTAATTCTTTCCCTTCCCAAGCCTGCTTTGAAAGATAAGAGTGGCTGCCCCAGTTACCGCCAAGGCTGACCAGGGTAGTTTCAGGTCTTTTTCCTGTTCTTTTTTTTTTTTGAGTCAGAGTCTCATTCTGTCACCCAAGCTGGAGTGCAATGGCATGCTCATCTCATGGCCACCACAGCCTAGACCTGCTGGGCTCAGGCGATCCTTCCACCCTAGCCTTCCAAGCAACTGGAACTACAGGCATGCGCCATCACGCCTGACTAACTTTTTGATTTTTTGTAGAGAAGAGGCCTCGCCAAGTTGTCCAGGTTAGTGTTGAACCCCTGAACTCAGACAGTCCTTCTCCCTCAAAGTGCTGGGATGACAGGCACGAGCCACCACACCTGGCAACCTTTTATTTTTAATTTCTTTTACCCTAACCACTTGACTATCAGGGAACAGCAAACATTTTTTCTTTTTTTTATTTATTATTATTATTATTTTTTTTTGAGTTGGAGTTTCACTCCGTCACCCAGACTGGAGTGTAGTGGCCGCTCCCGGCCACCGCAGCCTCGACCTGCTGGGCTCCAGCTATCCTTCTGTCTCAGCCTTCCGACTAGCCAGAATTACAGGCACGCACTACCACGCCCGGCTGATTTTTTAAATTTATTGTAGAGATGAGGTCTCGCCAAGT